CTAACAGACTCTTCAAACCTTCGAAATCCTTAGAATAAGTCCTGATACTCGCTTCATGTCCCCTACTCATCTCCTTCATCGTCCCATCAACTTATGTAGTCTTTAAGTCTAACCTATTTCCTTGGACTTGCTTTTATGCACACATCCAGAATTTTTATTAGCATTTAAATTATTATATTTGATTTTATTTCCACTTCGTGATATTGTAACGCGATTAAATTTTAAGATTTTATTGTTATACTCTTATTCGGCTTTTGTTTTATAATCTGAACTTATTTATGAATTGATGTATAGCCAAAACGAGTTCGTTAGTGTTCTCCTTGGTAATTTCAAGTTTAATTCCAGTTTAATTCCAGTTTAATTCCATGAACGTATGGCCTGGCTCCAGATATTTCATTGTCATCGTGTAAAAATGGGGGTTTCGGGGGGTCGGCGCGTGTATCCAATGGTCCTCAGGGATAGTTCTTGACCCAAAAACAAAGGTTCGACCAAAAAACCCGAAATTTCCAAAATGTTACTTAAGCACGTTTTGTCAGAAAACGGCAGAAATGCTATGTCCTATAAATGCGTATCGTACTAAATTCTTGGGTTAGATATACAATATTAAACTACTACTTTAAGTTCATCAGCACAAAGAAAACCAGGGATTTTCATTTCTGCGAGATTATTAAACTTCAATCGACAAATTGTGCACGTCATACCCTGAGGAACGCTTGAACGACATAGTCCTGTTGTATTTAGCACATATGTGCATGACGACACACTCTATCAGAACACTTTACCGTCCCCTGGGGACAATCCTCCGTATCTGAGAATATTTAGTAGGTAAAACATAGTGGAAAAGTTTGTTTTGTTTCTTCAAATTCTGATAAATGTGGTTTAGATAAATTGACGTTGAGATCAATTTTATTCGAGTTTTAAGTTTTAAGCTTTAAGTTTGCTTGTAATACTATCATAAAAGCAGTATACTATGGCGGCCGAGATGGCTCACCTAAATTTTCACTGAAAATTTTTAATTTAAAATTAATTATACAATTAATCACAAAATAAAAACGATTTTGAATTTGATTTCTAAAATTATTTTATTTTTTATTTTTTATTTAAATTTTAAAATAATTTTAGAAATCAAATTCAAAATCGTTTTTATTTTGTGATTAATTGTATAATTAATTTTTAAATTAAAAATTTTTAGTGAAAATTTAAGTGAGCCATCTCGGCCGCCATAGTATACTCCCAGGAATAGCAAAATAAAGTGAGTTCTCACCATCTTTATCCCCTTCACCTGCCAGGACCCTTATCTCGCAAACAGTCAAAGTTCTTACACTTCCTCCACTGTAGAACTCCCACAATAATCTGGAACCTTCCACACTCTCTTCCAATTCTATCAATGCTCTGTTTCCCTCTACTTCTCGGATAACTCCGATCCTTTTGTCCAGAAAATCTCCTGAAAAACTCACGAGATTATTGGGATCGTGTCGGAGCTAGTGGTATAGTATATGGTATCCTGATAAACGCTTTAATTAGCACGAACGCACGTGTGTGCGTGATCGCATATACCGTCAGAATTGTTTAATATAATCGCAGATAATTTTATTGATATAATTCTGACCTCTATTTCCGATGTGAACTTTGCTTCCAATAATGCTTTTGGGATCAGTTGATATGATTTCAACTCTTTGCACCTTAGTTGCTCTTCCCAGGTCCAGTTTGAAGTAGGGGTTCGTTGATTCTCTGTGATTTGAGATACTTAAAAGTTATGATTTGTTTAATTTAAACACTGAGGAAATAAAGTGACCCAAGTGAAAATATAACTTATGGACGTTATGTAACTACGTTATACACCTTGGACGTAATTATTATTCATATTGATATGTAGTACAGTCAAATACATGAGTATTATCTTGTATTTGTAACATCATCGAAACAACATAAATCTGTAACGTCTTTTTAATGTGCTACCTTATCTGGAGGGGGAATTGTTTAAAACATATAAGTGATACGAAAAGTTTGTTTTAGCAGGAGCTTTCAAAATACATGTGTAAATCGTCTTCAGCTAGTAGCTACCTTATTAATATGCTATCAATTAATATATCTAATTACGCTAAAACGTTCAAATTATTTTTATAGGTAGGACACGAAGGGTTTTAAACAATTTGATCAGTGCATACTTGGTTGAGAAGCAAGTGTCTTGATTTCCATCAGTAGCCTCTGTAACAAGCTCGCCACCAGAACTTGTGACGGTTTTATGCAAAGCAACATTCTTTAAATCGTCAACTGTAACAAGTAACAGTAAAACAAGTTTATTATATGGAACTTTACGAAATAATATCGATAAATCTGTTTATTTTATTGGGCCGAGGTTATATTGTTGTAGCCGAATAAATGAATTAAGTCCTTTAGCCCTAATTTAGATATGATGTGTTTTTTTGTTTTAGATTTCTTTATAGCATTTCACCATTCCACTAAAACTTTAATCAAAATAAAATTATAACATGAATATGTGAAAATTTGAATGGTTAATACGGCGAAAACATTGTTCAAATCTAACATTATTAAATCAAATCGCTTTATCGGGAAAATCTCATAAGAAATAACATAAACATCAGTAAAAGTGACTGTCCCTTGTGATATACTGATTATTGAAGTCCGATAATTTAGCCGGAGTAAGAACCCTAACATTCCATCCCTCCTCTTTGTCCGGTTCTGATATAATCATACTGTGAACTCTGCTCCTAGGTTTAGTTGAACCATCAGAACTTAGACTGGTAGAAGAGGAGGACAAGTGGACGAGAGAGGACTGTCTGTGTCGGGGATGGTTCCCGCGAGGGGGTGTGGTAGAGCACGCACAGTTAACCACGTACCGCTTCATTACCTTCTTCTGGGGTTTCAAGCTCAGGAGCCGTCTCTCTGCCAAGTCCCGGTCTTCTATCAGCTGTTTTGTTAGTTTCTCCAGCTCTACTCTTTGTCCCTTCATCTTCTCCATCTCATTTCCCAGCCGTGTCATGTCTTTGTGGTACGTTTTGCTCGTACCCACTGCCATGTGACGCCTCGTTTTCAGCTCCGTGTTGGTAGATCTTGCTCTCCCAGTAGGAGGTCGTGAGGAGATGGTACCACCATCCCGGCTTCTATGATATTGTTCTGTTCGCTCAATTAAACGGAGCAAATATGTTGAACCTTTTGAACGCGAGCGTCACGTTTGGTAATATTACGCATGCATAATCATGATGATGACTTAAAGGTATAATTGAATTTAAATTAATTCATTGTTGGGCAAGTTGGCGTAATGAAGGGCCAACGTTACGCCACTGAGAGGAGCTGATTGTTGTAATTTTATCTCATCACTAAGATCTCGAAAGGAATCTTTTTATTGGTTAAAACAAAGAAATATTTTTCAATTGTATCGGAAATTTTATTTTGAAAAACTAAATCAATTTATTGTAATTGTAATATTTTCTTATCATCGATTAAAAAGTGTTTATTCTGTTTGTAAATTATCAGATGAATAATAATTGAAATTTCGTATAGTATTTACTGGCGGTTTACTACCATTAGTTAACATAAGGAAAATTAGGAAATATGTTCATATTTTTCTAGGTTAGAAATTTAAAACATGCGTCAGTATATTACAAAATAAAAATCAGTCTGAAATTATTGTTTTATCGCAATAAAAATGATTAAGTTGCGATAAAATTCTGCTAATAAATTGTGTCTCCTTACCCATGTGTATTGTGTACTGTGTAATCTACAATGTTATGTCCAGTTATACTAAATACTTATACATCGACTTAAACCTCAAATAAGGTCCTATCAAGTTCTACTTCATGTTCATCTCCTGTGATTTCAAATATGATAGGTAGGTGGTCTGAACCTATATTTTCAGCAGTCTGCCACGAGTATGAGTTTTCAAGGGTTTTGGAGACCATAGTTATGTCAGGGGAACTTTTACCCTCGGTGGTACCGCTTCTCCTTCTCCTCTCCCTGTAGAAAGATAAAAATAAAAATAAAACTGCAATTAAAAATTGCAACAACTGGCTGCAATTTGGTTTTGCAAAACTTACATCTGTTCAAAAAAGTAAAATTTAACCTTTTCATGTTTATAATTCACACGGATCGAACAGCATGCATTTATAAATTATGAACGGTTACAATCATGCACGATTTAGTTTATCATTCACCAGAAATGTAATTTTTTGTCAATTTGACCTAATATATAATGAAACCCAATGGCCATTTCATCTTAGCGCTCACTTACCCATGTACAAACGTGGGTGATCCGTCATTGCAGCAAACCATATCTTTATCGTTCATAAATTGAATAATTTTGTTGCCCATGATGTTTTCAGGTTGTTCGTCCCATTGCTTATTGTGGGCATTAAAATCACCAGCAATCACGCAGTTGTTGGATGCAGGGATCCAATCGATATTTGCCTCGTCAGACGAATTACTCCCAGGTTTGGGCCCAGGGTAGTAAACATTTGTTATATCAAACCATTTTCCGTTCTTTTGCTGGATGCTGACACTGAGGGTTTCTACATTTCCTCTGTCAAGTTCAAAGCCTTCTTTTCTCTTGAAATTCAGATCTTCTTTTATGTACATAATCAGTCCTCCACCGGCTCCACCCTTACTTATATAGCCGGGCCTTAGGAGCCTATCCTTTCTTTCAACTTTGTATCCGCGTATTTCTGGAGTTTTTATACAATTGTTCGTGAGCTTAGTTTCTTGGATAAGAACTATATTTACATTTTCCTTCTTCATTAGCGCGCTAAGTTCCTCAGTTTTTGTGTTGATGCCCCTTGCGTTCCATTGTAGAAATTTGAGATTGGGCTGCCGGATGGTACCAGATTCTGGACGGGGTTTTTTCTTACAATCGTCTGTGTCACACTCCCAAGCATTATTACAGTACAAGTATTCGTAACGACCCCGCTCCAGTTTTGTGCATTTGAAATGGCATTCATTCTTGCATGTTTTAATTTTACACGTCAATCGATTGACTTTTTGCCCTATAGTTTCCAAACACACGAGGCAGCTGCTTTTTTTAAGGGTCGGTATTGGTTCGCCTTTACAAGGAAAGCATTTCGAACGGACCCTTCCTTTTTTAAAATAATCGATATGAGATATTTTGGCGCACATTTGATGGGCTTTGTTCGGGCATTTAGCAATAGTACAAGAGATTTGAGTATGATTTGGTGTCATAAATTTACCGCAAACGTAACAAGTTGCATTTCTCATATTATTCTTTTCTCCATCTTCATCTCTACTTTCATCGTTAATATCCTCATAGCTCATGGTTTCATCTGGAGTGCTGGTCTCTAACTGTCCACTTTTACTACTCGATGACGAGATCTCCAAGTCCGAATTAGTTCCTTGGTGAGCAACTAATTTATCTTCGCTGCTACTTACGTCTGTTGGTGGGATGTGTAATAAATGTTTAAATCTGCTGGTGAACTCTTCAATGTCGTTGTTAACCTCTTCATTGTCGCTGGTTTCCTCTTCATTGTCGCTGTTTTCCTCTTCATTGTCGCTGTTTACCTTTTCAATGTCGTTGTTCACTTCTTCATTGTCGCTGGTTTCCTCTTCATTGTCGCTGTTTTCCTCTTCATTGTCGCTGTTTACCTTTTCAATTTCGTTGTTCACTTCTTCATTGTCGCTGTTTTCATCTTCATTGTCGCTGTTTTCCTCTTCATTGTCACTGTTTATCTTTTCAATGTTGTTGTTTACCTCTTTAATGATGCTGCTTGAAGATGAACCCTCATTTTTGTTACTCATGCCGTGTTCTACTTTATGGCAGTGGTATCAGATCCTCAGATCAAGGTTGGGTTATACCTAAACCTGGCGGAGATATTGTTACATGAAGCAAAGAAATAAATGATAACAAACCGAACTAACGTAAAGAAAATATACTTAATATGAAGTAGACAGCCATTGAGCCATAGCTTTACATAGTGATTACTGTGTACCAATATTTGATGTAGAATCTCTTGTGGCTTAGAGAGTGTATGTATACATATGTGGATTAATTCCTGTGGATTAATTCCTGTGGATTAATTCCTGAGCTGAATAGGGCCGGTAGCTCAGTTGGTAAAGCACCAGGCATGTAACTCGGAGGTTGGCGGATCATACCCGCCCCGGCACTATGATTTTCCGAATCGCTGATCAGTGGAAATCTAGTCAATTCAAATATCTGCTTGCTTGGTACTCAGGGTCGATACAATCACAGCCCAACCAACTTCTTGATCAGACTGATTCACATACATGTGCATACGCCATCTGGGAGCCGTCAGTTGAGCTTGCTCTCTGATAAGTGACTCGTGGGTTGAAAACATCGTGTACAGTACTTCGTGAGTAGTACAGTACTTCACAACGATAAACCGCCTCCCCAAACCCAGTTATCAAAAAAATAAAATCAAACGTTCAGTACGATAAAGTCTTTACCGGTACCCTAGGGCAATTTTTTATCGAACAAGTAAAATTCAGGGACAGTAATAAAAGATCAAACAATAAAAGTACACCTGTACTAATGTACATGAGAAATTAAACAACAAAGCACGTAGACAGCTTAATACATCGTACTGGCACATACAGAGCTACATACAAAAATCTAACATGCAAAATTTAAAATGATGGGCAAAAATTAATTTGGGGCAAGCAGAAACGCAAAAAGGAAATTAAGTATAAACAACGCTGACAAATGAAATTTAAACAATTTCTATCCGACAAGAATGAGACTAGTTGCAAGTCAACCTCGAGGTCGATCGACACTAAAAATATCCAGTAAAAGTGTTTACTGACTAACGTTATAAGGGAAAGTAGAAAGTTTTAATTTCTTATCGCTACAATTAGTTTTTAATGACAGGAACGTGCATGCGAAGGTTCTAGAAGGATGAAGTATATTGGATGTAAGGATATGAAGCAACTATGTATAATGGGAACTGAAACATATCAAACTAGCACGTGAAATCCAATGAAATGACAAGTAATGTTCATTCGAAAACGCACATGAGGGAAAGCGGAAACCTTAAAAGCTCCAGAAAAACGATCTCCCACAACACGACATAGCGTCCACCTGTGCAATGTAACTCGAGACTTGTAAATAACACGACCTACACCGATAAACGTGTTTCAAATTCTATAGGGTCTGAGTGTTGGTGTTACGTGATGTGTTTGATCCAGGAGACTTAATAATGGACCATAAATGGAATTTCAAGGCGTTGTGGAAATTGCGTTCGGTGTTCGCAATTCAATAGATTCTGGCAAATCAATAGTTTCTGGTATTTCATTCCCTAAAAGTAAAATTGTTTTCAGGCATTATCTACAGCAAATTAAGTACCTAATCTGTTCAATTATGTGACGAAAGATGCGTTACTATGGAAAATTATAATGCTACAACCTGAAATTGAAGGATAAATTATGCTGCTTCATAGTCATATTGAGTCATGTGATTAGCCGTTGGATTACTGATCCCGAATACGTCATGATATGACGTATGTGATAGGTCATAATGCGATTCCGGTTGAGAGATGATCACAGGGGAATGAGGATGCAATACAATGGTCTCAGTATCATGCGATCAAGGAAAAATGATCTGATGAAATTACTGTCCCCAAACATTTCTGTGTATGGAATGCTTGACTCGCTTATTAGAAGAAACTCAGCTGACCAACATTTGCATTTTCGTGACTCTCCACCAGTCCACCTAACCGATAATATGTCGGCCTGCAGGCTGCACCTAGCCGATAATATGCCGGCCTGCAGGCTGCACCTAGCCGATAATCCGCCTCCCCAACCAAATATCTTACCTTACAAGACATATTTATAACGTACGAAATGTGGCGGTTTTCCAAAAATTTCGCCATATTTTCGGACCGCCAAAATTTCTGTCGTCGTAATAGAATCCGTCGCATTATCTTTTAGCTTATTTCAATGACTGTGCCTTCAATACTTTATTTTGTTTCTAAAAAGTAATATCAAGTAAAATAAATAAATAAATGCTGGCATCTTGGGACAAATTATCACCACACCAATGACGAATTGAATGTCAAGCAATACAGTTTAAATTAGCATGTATGTGCTAACATGAAAGTCTTACAGTCTTAATACAGACTAAGTTTGAACATGATTTTACCGAATTTCAGAAATTTCCTTACTGCTTACTGTCACAAAAAATGATGAAAAATACCCTTATTTTCTGTGACGTCCGAAATTTGACGGTTTTTGTTCAATTTCGCCATATTTTCGGACCGCCAAAATTTCGGTCGTCGCAAATTAGGCCGCCATAAATATGTCTTGTAAGGTAAGCATAGTTGGTCAGTAGTCAGTACGCACTGTACGAACTTTTAAAAGGTGCCGAACTGTACGAATTTTAAAAAGCTGTCGAGGAATTTTTACCGAATTTTAAACCACTTACCACAGACCGATTTGAAAAACCTTAATTATTTGGCTTCGTCAGAGTTTTGTCGGCACTATTTGGGCACTATACAGACAGACAGACACACACATACATCTATTGAGATTATTAGTATATATTGATTATAATATACTAGATTCGTTCGTTAATAATACTCACCGATTATAGCGAGGAAGAAGTCAATAGCAGCGATTATATTTATATAGAGCACATAGTTTTCCCAGCCTAAAACATTTCCAAGTTCGGTGATGTTCAGTCTTGGGATGTAGTGAACAGTGTTACTTGTCACGGAGGGAGGCATTCTTGCTTTGGTAAAGTTCATTATAGGAGCGACCCCTGATGTACAGTGGTATAAAAGTCAGTCACAAACCGATGCCGACTATTTGGAGTATGAAATAAAATAAAATCTCGGTTATGTAATTCTCGTTATATAGCACCACGCAGGAGAAAATATCGCGTCTAGACCATCGTAAGTTTGACGCAGTTAAACTATAATGGCAAGAATATACCCTCTCTTGAGATGTATCGGGAGTGGGAATACTATATGTAATTATAATCTGCTTTACAAAGTTGTCGATCTCTTTTAAATTGCACGTTCATCTATAAAAGTTCAGCACTGAATTTTCTACTTTTCGATGTGCTGTGCACCTAAAAACAGATTTTCAATTCAATTAAATCACTTTAAAATCTGGTTTAAAAAATGCAATCGTTTAATGAGTGCTGTAGCATCAGGGACAAAAGGAAATCGCGGCATGTACGGAATCGCGATTTTTCCCATTATTTCCGACAAATTTTATGTATAGTTTAATATACCGCGAAATGTAATTCGCGGTATCGCGATTTTTGGCCAAAACAATCGCGAAATCCTTTTGTCCCTGTGTAGCATCAATCCTGATCTCTATGATATATTAGTAGTGATATCGCAAAGAAATCCAATTAAAATCAATGATATTGCGTCAAATGAAAATTATTTTTAGTGGTCGCTTTCTTTGAACAAAATTCTTAATGATTTTAAACCATAAAATAAATCTTGACTCATATCTGATTTCGTGATTTAAATGGTACTGGTAGATAAAGAGTATTTTAACCTCGCTAAAAGCACCGGTCGTTTGAAAAGGTACTTATCTATCAAAGGCCTGACAGCTGAGTTAATTTAAGTTCTTTCGATTAAATCCAAGTTCGAAAATTTATGAGACGAATTTTTCCTGAACTAATCCCGAACTGAAAAAAGGTGCCGAACTGTACGAATTTTTTACGACTTTTGTACGAACTGACCAACTATGATTAATAGCTGTGGAGTAATCATAGCACACTTTCACTGACACCTTCAGCGATTGGATGGTGATAAATCACTATACAGTATACACTCGACTGTCACGTGACTTTTCCAACCCGTTTTCAAGTTGGACCTGAACGACTATTTGAAAGCCAAACTGAAAATAATCGCGGCGAATTTGCGGCGAAAGATAATGTATTTGCAGAGCTAAATTAGATGTCCTAATCACACTGAAGTATAAGCAAAAAAACAAGTCGCTCATCGGACTACTGGGATATACCAATCTTACGGCTTGATATTGAAAATGCAGAGGAGTAATATTATTGTATTGTGCGACTTGAATCAAAAGTATTATACCCAGACTTCTACAGGCTAGAAATCTTGGAACAGTAAATAAAATATTGATTTGAATTACAGAAATAAACTCGCTGTTCCATTTTGACACACTACTACTCTATCGTAGTTCATAATCCAGCATCATGATGAGGAGATACAGTTATTATCTCAATTCTCGTAGTCACGTGATAGTAGCTGGCAGAGTCATGGGGTCGGGAGAGGCTTTTCTTTAATTAAAAAAAAGAGAGGCTGGGCCTGGTTGGCCCACGAGAGGATAGCATATGGATGCTTTGCATACCTCTGGGGTATGGCAGTCCTGTGGGAGGATGCCGGTGGAATCAAGATGTGTAATCAAGGATGATGGTAAGTGTTGTGGGGTGTGTCAAAGATGAACGCTTAAGTGGTGGTTGAGTGTGGAAGAGAGAGGCGAACTAAGACGACGTTTGAGTAGTCGCTATGTTACACCGGTCTGGTCCAACTCCTCTGGTACCATTAAGCGTTTAGTGTGGTTAGCAAACTTGACGATGGTGGAGATGTGTTGGTTGTCGAATATGTCATTGACAGAGAGGTAGTAGTCCCGGAAATATTGACCTCTTATTTGGGCAATAGCCGGGCACTATCCAAGAAAGTGTGAGACAATCTCCTCTTCGTCGCCACATTTAGGACAAGCACATGAATGTCCCGTGATGAGGTGCACTGCAGTTCTGTAATTTTGTCTGTTGTTACTGATGATGTTGATGTTTTTGTGTC